GCTCTTCGGTGTAACGGGAAACTGTGCTGCCTGTAGTAAGCTCATCCCTGCCTTTGAGATGGTGATGCGTGCCAAGGACAATGTTTACCACCTGGACTGCTTTGCATGTCAGCTTTGTAATCAGAGGTAAGCAGATTTCATTTTGGCTTCTAAAAAATGGTAAACTTCTCTGTGCTGGCTATTTATTTAATAGGTGCGAATTATATTAGTACTCTTTACATGAAGCAATTAATTTCAGCATTTGTGTTTTCTGCAAACATTAATCCCATGCCAGAAAACGACCACCAAGGAGGAGAGAGGTCTTAAGGTTAACTTCTACCTCAAAGAAATGCATCATAAAACAGCAAGTGACAGAAAATGGAAACACTTCTATAAACTTTTAGATTTCTTATTCTTTTCTCCATTGTTTTTTCTGTCTTTTAAAAAGTAGACTTAAAATATCCACTTTTTTGTATTATTTCTGTGAGCAAACAAATTGGCAATGAGGCACATAAACAGGAATTTGTTGCAAGTATTTTGTATTCATCTTATTTTTCATATTTATAGTTTCCCTATCTCTTGATTTCTTAACTTGAATTTTAACCTTGTTCTGTATGTGCTTTTGAAATTGTTTCAAATGTCTTTGGAAACAAGGCCAGATATAGCTAATAATTAAACAGTTATCAGCTTTGGAGAGGAGGCATTGGAAAGAATATCAAACAGAGTCTGGAAACCTAAATTTTACTCTGGACTTTGCCATTAATAAGCTGTGTGACCCTAAACCAAAAACTTCCCCTTTCTGGACCTCATTTTTTTTTTATTTATGACATAGGAGCTGTATTAGTCAAACTCAGAGAACTCTTTTAGCTTAAAAGTATTATGACTTAATTACAATTTTCCTTACTGAAAGTTATAACTTTTATTTATAAAAGTTATTGGTTACTATTAGGTGGAAACTATATACTACTGACACTTTGATGTACAGAGAATATTAGAATATTAAAATGAACATATTAAAAGTATAATATTTTAAAAATCAATACACTTGATGGATTTTAATGAAAATAAATTTAGAGTTTCTGTGAGAATACCTGGACATAGTATATAATCAATAAATATTAATTGCATCAAGTTCTCCATCATTGAAATTTACCCTGAAAGGTATTATTTGATGCAGAGTCTTATTATGGAAGCCCTGTAGATAATAGAAAGAATATGATATTTATAGTGAGAACTGGATTCAAATTCCACCACTACCATATCCTAGCTGATATATTAGCTGTGCGATCTTGAGTATGTTACTTAATGAATTTGGTTTCTGCACTCACAAAATAGAGACATTAATACCTATCTTGCAGAGTGAAAGTTAAATAAAATAATTTATATCAAGTACCAGGAAAATAATAGGTTCTCAAAAGTTATTTTATATTTATAATTTACCTTTACCAAACATTCCACTAACTGGGTTTTTCCACACGATATATCTATCTCTATATCTATAGATACATAGATATAGAGATAGATATATATCTCAATAGTGTCTCTTACTAAATGTACATGTTCAGAATGTGGTCCACTATATCTTACGATATAATATTTACCTAGACAACAATTTAAGATGTCATTTTACAACATCTTGATTCTTCCCAACAAATGCTTAGAATCAAAAGTAAGTAAATGTAGTCTAAGGTGACATTTAGCCAAAAATAAATTGGTAAGTGCGCATATTGTTTTTTGTGGGGATATGGATATACAAGCACAAATATTCATACATCCATACAGACACATTGATATGCATGTGTGCATTTTAAAGGTGTATTAGTAGTAAGTTTAGAATGCTTTTGTTTACTTGCAATGTTGATCCACTAATAGTTATAATACAGTAATCTTTATGCAATAATAAATTTGTTTTTCTACTTATAAAAGATTACATATTCATAGTAGAAAATTTAGAAAATAGAAAATGATAAAAAAAAAAACATTGTCCCATGTCTTACTATTCTGAAAGAAAATATTTGAATATTTTGGTATATAGCCTGACATATACTATGTATATGTATGTATATGTATACATTTCTATGTATATATGACAAATGACATAAAGTATATATATTATACCCACATTTATGCAGATTAAAGAAAAGTAATAGGGAAGAATCCTAATGTTCTATATTTGGGCTTTTTTTACTTTATATTATATGCATTTTTACCTGCCATTAAAAATTCTTTTAACATATTTTAAGCTTTCTTGTGTTCACTTTTATGGATAGAGCTTGACATATAAATCAGTCTTCTATCATCAGACATGTAAGTTGTTTCTTCAAAAGTTTTTATGTTGTAAATATTATCAGTATTATCAATATAACATGGACTCTGTAAAGAAACAAATGCTAATTATCTATGTCAGGATAAATTCATAGGAGCATAATTAATTAGACAAAGTATATAACAGTTTGAAGGCTAATGTTATACATTGCCAAAAGGATCTCCAGAAAAGTTATACCAATTATTCTCACAGAAGAAATGTACACAACAATGCATTCCCTCATATTCACTCTAACACTAGGAATTAGTGTTTTAAAAAATCCTTGTCACTTTGAGGGATGAAAGATGCTATCTCATTATAATGTTTAATTGGCATTTATTTGATTACTAGTGGCCCTTTGGTATTCCTTCTTTTAAGGAACTAGGCAGTTTATGCCCTTTGTCCATTTTTCTATTAGGTAGGCTTACCTATTTTATCCGTGTTCTGCATAGAAAATTAAAACATCATTCAAGTGCTAAACCCAGCCTAAATTCTATTATGATGCAAAGTAATTGTAGGTTGTTAATGCTATTTACAAATCGTATATCAATTTTATTTCACCATTGAAATAAAAAGTTGCATTCACAATTAAGTCTGTCTCCTCAGTAGAACTCAGTCAAGTAAGACAAACACTCCTAAATTTTGACTCTAAAACTGTTCACATTCTTATTGCTGCAAAATACTGTTCTAGTATCATTATTAAAGTACCTAATATATTTCTGTGTTCGCTTCATTTATTACATGCCATAATGGGACTGCATATCTTTAGTGCTGGTTATGCACAATTAGCACTTAGTTATTGTCTTGTCACTTCAGCCCTACAAGACAAACTTCTTCAATGCAAGAAGTCAGCTAATCTTCATCAGTCAAGCAAAGCAGACAAATTTTGTTACCCTGAGTACAGGAGGTTTTCAATATAGGAAATTCTCCTTTTAATTTGAGGTTTACTTCCAGGTTTACTTCAATCCCCTCCAATAAAGCCATATCCTACAGAAGCCCATGCTTCCAGTGTAGCCAAATTATTGCCACCGTATTGCATCTTTTCAAGAGAAACAGGAGGCAAATAGATAATTTATAGGCATTTTCCCTTAAGCAAAGTTTATTGACACCTGAAATTGTGGATTTACAAATGTTTATGAATTTTATTTAGCAGTCATTTCATCTTAACTTTTAAATCAAAATATCATTAAGATCCAAAGCATTTCTAAATGTTTATAATAATAACCTTTTAGGATTTGGGAGTCCTTTATACATATCTTCTCTGTCCTTTTTAGAGGGCTATGGCTAAAGTTGTGAATCCTAAATTAAATTTCTGAGAGTTTCTCCATTTCAAAAGGAAACCAGCATAGGCATATTTGAACAACTTTTATGATATCTTGAATGGCATTCAGGATTGTAAAATTCTGTATAGTAGGTTAATTTCTTAAAGGTGAATAAGCTCCTCTTCCTTAGCAAGCTCAGTAAAACTAAATGATGGTTTTATAAGAAAAGGAAAAGAAATGCTTGTTGCCAATGGCATTTTTCCAAATACATAGAATTGTGTAACAATTTATTATTTTTTTTTTATTAAAGGATAAAAACACTGTGCTAGGCTCTGTGGAACTGAGGTGGATAAAGTCTAGTTTCTTTCTTAGAGGTGTTCAGAGCTATGAGAGAGACAAGACATCAAAGATTCATAGAAGAGTGTAATCAATGCCAAACAGATCTATACTGAGGGGAGAGAGATCCATCCTTCTTGAAGCGTCAGGGAAGCATCAAAGCGCTGATGTGCTGGCTGTTAAGAAAGAACTTTCTAGAACTAGTTGAGGTATAGGAAGTGTGTCTGGTGGGAGTTGGGGAAGATGAAGGACCCAGGGAGCAGTGAGAAAAGGATTTTCCAGGCAAAAACAGCAACATGCAAAAAGCATGAAGGTGGGAAAGCATTTGATGCATTTAGTAGATGAAAACCAGCTCAGTACGCTCAGAGATTAGAGGAGAAGTTTGGTAGAAATATGGAAGAGTAGAGAGTAGAGCAAGGATCAGGAGGAAATGAAATTGTAAAGGTAGGAAGTCATTCACTAAAAGTCAAATGAATATAAATTTAAAGTATTCATCTAAAACACATTTTTTTAAAAAATTTAAAGCTATTGTGTTCTGGAATAAATCTATTTTAACCAATATTTAATGACCACCGAGCTTAAGTGGTAGCACAATTTATGGTGGTACTACAAAGGGTTCAAAAGGGACGTAACTCATGGTTACTCACCTCAGAACTGCCGTCCAGATTGGAAAATCTGTTGCACATTCATGAGTAATGTTGAAATGCCAAAGTAAATGATACACCAATAAATCAGTGCTTTAGGAAAGATGAGAATAAGAGAGTTGACAGGGTATGTTGATGGAGGGAATGGGAACTAAAGAATATTTAGAATTTAAGTAGATAGAAAAAAGGGATGAAATATTATTGGCTAGGGAGCAACTTTAGTAAAGGTGAAAAGTATATCATTAGCAAATATTCAGGATAGCAAATGCTTATACAGAATTGATCATACACCAGACACTGTTCTGAGTGTTTTACATGTACTAACTCATTTAATATTCACAATAACCCATAAGTAGGTACTATTGCTAGTCTCATTTTATAGATGAGGAAACTGAAGAAAATTTAAGTAAGCCCAAGATTACACAGTTAGAAAAATGGTATACTCAAGGTTAGAACCAGGCAGTCTAGTTTCACTCTCTGGACTCAGACCTGATCCAAAAGGAGTATTTTCTTTTCTAAGAGCATATAAATGTGCATTGATATAGTGAGTTAAAGTAAGGTAGAGTTTGAATAATTTATAGCAGGATTTGGGGCATGGGCAGTGTAATTTGGTTTGGAAAAGGCTATTAGGAATGATCTGGGTAATGACAACTTTGTTGTCAGTGGGGAAGAGACTGTAAATTTGTCCACAAGTGTATAGTTGGGGGAATTGGGATTTAACCTGTACCTCTCACTGAAATAATACAGTATAGAGAGCTCCATCTTAGAGTGACTGAGCATGAAAAATAAGAAAATAGAGATATTGGAAATATAGATTGGATCCCCCTTCTTTTTAAAGTGTTGTAGAAATAGAAATTAATTCTAATCGGTAGTCAGTAACCTTAGGTAATTAAGATGATTAAGTTAACATTTTAATTTATTAAAAAGGAGGTTACAAATGGAGACTTCTTAGCATAGGTTTTCTTAGGGTTTTTTTTGTTTGTTTTTGTTTTTAGTTTTTAACCTGCTCAAAACTACTCTAAGCACCATATTTTATAAGGATGATTTATCAATTATACTTATTTCTTATACTTCTTAAGTCTCAGCTAGAATCACTCCAAGATATTTTGAAATTAAATCGATTATTAGTTCCAAAACATCAAGATTAGATGATTTAATAATCTGGGCATCTTTTTATTCCTTTAACATTAAAAGAAAATGAGGGCAAAACTAATTGAACTGACCATACCATAAGTAATTAGGATTATATTACAAGTCAGATTATCCGTTTACTTGCAGGAATTTTAGCTCCATCTGTTAATGTACTTACAGTATCCTCTGGCCATCACTGCTTTTATAATGTTTTCTTTCTGCTAATGCTAAATCTCATAAGGAGCTGGTTATATAACATTGGAAATCAACACTTCTTACAAAATCACAGTTACAGATGATTTTGTTAAGCATTTAATATCTGCACTGCTGTTTCTCTTATTTCTTCATGTTCATAAATGAAACATTTTTAAGGAAAGAAACCAATCTTAATTACATACCAATCATAATCTGCTCTTAACCATAGCTTTCAAGGGTGTTTTGTTTGAGTCATTTGTGAAAGTGTGACATGCCTCACCCAAATTCTGTTTAATCTTGACCTTTAAGTATAAATTGAAATGCACATAATATATACTTTATCCAGTTGACAACATATTAATAACAAAATATTTCAGGTAGCAATATTTTAGATAAATAATCTCTCTCTCTCTCTCTCTCTCTCTCTCTCTCTCTCTGTCTCTCCCCACCCATATATACATACACTCACACACACACACATAATATCTCACATAATGATAGGCAGACTTATTTCAAGTTATACAAAGGAATAACAGCAATACCAGAAAATTGTATAACTTTTTAATCCTCACATTATCCTTGTAGTCTTCTTGCTTTACTTCCTCCAGGTAAAAGCATAGATCTTGAATCCAAAGGGACCTGGGTTATTTTCCTTCCTCTAACACATACATTCTAACTATGGAATCTTGGACAGTTTTTTTTTTTTTTTTAATTTTGAAAAGGGAGCCTTAGATGTTTCTTCTGAAGAAGGCAATGATAATACTTTCTAATACTTACCTACATTCCGAACACCGAGGTAAGACTTTACATACTACATCATTATGCTTTGCCACAAACCTACAAAAGTGACTGATACTAAAAACTGAAGCTCCATCTTCAATTATCATAAGTGGAAGGCTGGGGTTGGAACCTTATTTATTACAATATTCCTCTCTGCCTTTCACATGCTTTTCATTTGAACCTCCCTACAGCCAGTCGGAAAAAAAAAAAATCCTGTGTTTTGCTTACACAGCGTCTTGCATTGGATAGTGATAGAGACGACATCTCTTGCTTCCAGGCTTTTCTCACTATAATTACCTTGAAATGTTTAATCTACAATCGAATTTTACTAAATGTAAAAGGCCTCTGAAGGTAAGAATGACATGACCAAAAACCATGTTTTTATTTGATGACTAATAGAATTTTGGCACTTGATGAAAAGGCAAAGGCAAAATTTTAGACAAAGTGGAGTTGAAAAGAGAGTATTTCCAGATGAGTTGTTTTTTAGAAAAAATGATTCAGTAACTTCAGTTGGAACATAAGAGTGATTTATTGAATCTATTTATTTTTGATGTGATATTTTATCATTGGCTTATTAGTCAAAATTAATTTCAACAGTAATATAAATTGATAATTTTGAACAGTGATTAAATATATCCTACATGCTATTTTATATAATTTCACACAAAAGATATTTAACTAGTTAGTCCTGTTCAACAAGAGAAATACTTCCTTTTATTTAACGTATCTTAGTGATCAGGATAGCTACAAAAAACTGGTTAGTTCAAACACCACTTTTTAAGTGCCACATTTAAAGTGTACAGTTTACAACTAATACAAAGAATATATCCTTAAAGCCCCCAACTTGAATGTTCATTGTATCCAGTAGCTTTGACCACAAACAACCACAGGATTTCAAGATCAGTGCGTCTGTGCTTTCAAACAACATCATCAGCAGGCAGTAATCCTGGGGAAAAAAAAGTAAATTCCACAAATAAACAGACCAATTTTCCTTTAAGAGGAAAGCTAATTCTTTTCAATCTACTTTTTTTATTACGCTATTTTCCCTCTATCTACTTAGCTAGTATAAGGATAAATTTCCAAAGCTACCCAGTTGGAAAATAAATAGGTTCACTGTTTGTCTAGCATTCCAAATCTTTGCAAATGTAAATCAGTCCAACTGCTCCTCATTTAAACCTTCAACTTCACAAAACATTAAAGGGTGGCTTTCATGGCACAATTTAATCTATCCACTAAGATTTCTGCTTGAACATCATTTGAAATTGACTATCTGATAAAGAGAGACCACTATCAAAGGTCAGCGAGGTCAACTTGTATAATTACAAGTAGTTTTAGTGGGTCAACTCTACCAGACACCACTGTTTGAAGGTTAAATTGTTACAATTAAATATATATACAGATCTCCCCAGAGTTACTTTATTGTTAAATGTACCGGAAACAGCAAAAGCATTTATTTCTGACCTTAATTGTGTCCAAAGTGTCACCATTGGGAAATTATACAAAAAGAGCACTTATTAAAAGCATTACAATCTTGCACGTTAAACAGTGTTTTATAAAATAAAATACATAATTAGTTATCAGAAACTGGTTTTATTTATTCCACCAATATTAAGAAGTTCATACAGGTTATTCCCTTTGATTAAATTAGAAGTGCTCTAAGAAATGACATCTACTCTTTCATAGTTGGTAAACTTGCCATAGAGAAGACTTTGATGCTAATGCAACTTTCACTTCAGAATGATCACTTCCAAATTACTGGGATTTAATCACATTTTAATAACAGAGTAGAAGGAAGCTTTAAATGAGAAGCTTTAAAATGGGCTGTTTTTTTTTAATTGTTTGATTCATTCTAATACCTTGTACTTTTTAAGTGCCTAAATAGCCAATGAAGAAATCTTCCATAATTACCGCAGTGAAATATTATCATTCTTTTATTTTAATGATGGCAAATATAGATCAGTTATTTATGTCTTTTCAATGTGGTAAAAATAACAATAATTATAACAAAGAAAAGAAAGTTACCTTTGGTGCTCCAAGTATTAACCTCAATGTTCCTATATTTATATATATGTATACATATATATATATATGTGGGATTTCAAATGTTGTGTGAAATGTTTCACAAATGAAGTAAATGCTAAATGGTTTAATTTTAATAATCAAGACAACTTTCTAAGTCAAGTTTTCAGAGTCAGGGAACTACCATGTGAAGCTATTATTAGGAAAATCAATCTTAACATCTATAGATTTGAGTGAAATGATCTTAACACATTTTATTGTTTAAAATATTTTCAGATTTTGTGTTGGAGACAAATTTTTCCTAAAGAATAACATGATCCTTTGCCAGACGGACTACGAGGAAGGTTTAATGAAAGAAGGTTATGCGCCCCAGGTTCGCTGATCTATCAACATCACCCCATTAAGAATACAAAGCACTACATTCTTTTATCTTTTTTGCTCCACGTGTATATAAGAATCGACACAGGAACCTACTGAATAGCGTAGATATAGGGAAGCAGGATGGTTATATGGAATAAAAGGCGGACTGCATCTGTATGTAGTGAAATTGCCCCCGTTCAGAGTTGAATGTTTATTATTAAAGAAAAAAGTAATGTACATATTGCTGGATTTTTTTGCTTGCTATTCGTTTTTGTGTCACTTGGCATGAGATGTTTATTTTGGACTATTGTATATAATGTATTGTAATATTGAAGCACAAATGTAATACAGTTTTATTGTGTTACCATTTGTGTTCTGTTTGCTTCTTTGTATTGTTGCATTTAGTACAATCAGTGTTTAAACTTACTGTATATTTATGCTTTCTGTATCTACCAGCTATTTTAAATGAGCTGTAACTTTCTAGTAAAGAACTGAAGAGCAAATCTCACTAATGATACACAGATAGATAAAACGAGTCTATCAACATTAAAAATACTAAACAATAAAGACACACACAAAGCATTTTAGTGACATCCACTACTTATTGCCACTATGATTTAGAGTCTATCAGTGTTCTTGTTATAACCCCCTATTTTCAGGGGGTTAAAAATCAGCTTTAAAAAATGCATACAAATTTCATCTTAAAGCACTTTCGTTTTATACCAACGTGAAAAGTGCCATTTTTAGAATAACTTTAAAGCTTAACAGTTATCCTTTTAATATCCTTTTTTTGTGCTCTCTACCTACACAACGGCTTTGTTTTGCTTTTTCAGTCACACCCCTTATGTGAACTAGTGCCTTTGGGTATCGTGTAAAAATTTTCCAAAGGGTTACTTTTAAAAAGTGTTACCACAATTATGAGATAATTTTAAAATGATAAAGTAAATTTCTTATATAAATTTTGCCCAGATCTCTCCATAAGAGCTAAGGGCTTAATAAATTTATGGCACTGAAAAGATTTGAGTGTGAATCTACTGAAATCATGGTAATGCACATTGAAGTATGATGGTATCGAGTAGTGAAGTTACTTTTGAGCACAGCAACATAATGCTCATAGAATCTTCTAGAAGAAGAGAAACAAAGGGATTGATAAAAAGCTGAGAATTGGTGATTATATATTTTTCTGTATTTCCCTGCCATTTATTTTAATGTTTAAAAAGTGAATGCTTTAAGTTTAATGTGTCTTACTTTACTCATTGCTTTAGGGAATTACCAACTCAGAATACATTACACACAGGCTGAAATCGGCCACTCCATTTCTTAAAAGGTGAAATATGCCCTTACCTACATGATAGCAGATAAAGAAGAAAGCTCTAGAAACAGAAATTATGGAGAATGATTATTTAAATTACAATTAAGGAAATAAAAATGAGAATAATATCTCCTCTTCTGAGTTGCTTACACTTTGATTCTTTGCTTCTGCTCCCTGTAATAGAACTACTTTTTCAACAAATCTAATTCTGCGCAGGCACAACAATAAACCATGTTTTTACCATAGCAAACAGTGCTATGGGGTTTCTTTTTTTTTTTTTTTTCTTGATCACTTGTACAGAAAACAATATTTCTCACTGTTATTTACATACATATTTTTTCCTGCCAATATATACATTACAGAAAATTAAATGTTAAACCTGAATTTTTGGTTTGGGGCCAAAGTATTAAGCTGAAAATAATGCTGGTGTGGATTTGAGTTGTTTTGAAACAAAGCTTTATTATGAACATGCATGTGAATCTGGATATTGCCTCTTATTTTTGAGAAAATGGTTCTGTGAAAAGTGACTGATATGTATTTTTACAAATGCTTCATGGTTAAGAGTGTTCACGTCACATGTCCCCCAAATTTAAAATATATTGAAGAAAGAATTTCAAATATAGCTATTTGGGTCTCACAGAATAACTGTTACTTTAGCCTTTGAGCCTTACATTTGTTTCACAAAAAACTTGTATAGCCAAAAACCAATAAAGCAAGACAAAATAAAAATGGGAGGGGGTGAGATAAGTGAGAAGTGGTTTTCATAATGCAGCCCTGCTAGACTCTTATTAACAGTTGTTTGAAATTCACGTGGATGTAAAATTTTAATTGTCAGTATCTTTTTCAAATGATCGTCTTTAGATTTAAATGGTTTTCATATGTTTATTGATATGTCAAAATACTTGTAAATTGGGAACAAACTTCTCTCAACTTCTTGAAGCTGTTCAACTATCCTTGCCACCCAAAGACCAAACAAGAATTTCACTACTTTTTCTTTTACTTAATACTTTGGGAATTAACTCTTACTCTTTTTACTACAAACAAAATTACTCCCCTGAATTAGAGATTAAGGCCTTAATCTGTTTAGATTATCTTTAATCTCTATGAAGTTGTGAAACAAGACAGGAATAATTTCAGCTGTAGGTCATTTTTACAGCAAATTGTCCATCAACAGTAGCATTTTTGACCTGAAGTACTGAACTAATTTTGACTACTCAAAGCCCTGGAATTGTTGTCAACTTTCCTCTTTGTGTTGTGTAGCCCTGACATCCTTTAGCTTGTTATCTGATGCTTCCAATAGGACACCTCCGATATAGCTTTGATTTCTCAAGCAGTGAAAGCTCGCTTACCTAACATGCATCTCACAGGCTACCTGTGGTGAAGGACCAGGCACTCCCACTACACCAAGTGCTGATTGAGTTTAAAAGCTGACCTGTGTTTGTAATTTCACTTTCATCTTGCTTAATAAATATCTGCTGAATTCTTTCATTTTTTACATTTGGGTTTATGTTTTTAAGAAAAGGGGTATTATACTATTTGATTGCGCTCAATTGGCAAAAATCTAACATGGTATCTAGAAAACATGAACATGAACAAGGAAAACGATATGTTCTCAAGGTAAATCATAGCAAGCCTAGATGAAGGATCTCAAATGCTTTCTCTAAATATTATATTTAGGATTTCTGAGCTAAGTAGTTTACTGCTATTTACTTTCATGGGGAAGATAAAACTGTCAAAAATGAAGGTAGCAATTGCAGGGTGTAATTTTGTACATTTATACAAATGTTAAGTGATCTTTCTGAAAGCAACTGTGTTGCTGTTGTCAGACTAAATTTCAAATTTCCTATTTTCTGTATAATGAATTAAAACAAAAAGTTAAGTCCTCCATTTTCGAAGAAGAGATGCTGTGCCTTTAACTGAAACAGGGTGCTGAAAATTGCATCTATAGTAAAGCATGCCGTACACAGTGGTTTCCTTTTAACTATTACTTTAGGCAAACCACTCTCTGAATCGTCACTTAAAACAATTTCAAAGAAATGATAGAGGCCAAACATGTTTAGCGTTCACTTCAGTAAGTTGCAAAAACAATCTGCATGTTTATTGTAATAGGCCATTAGCGCAAAATACAATTTTAAGCAAAAGCTTTTGTGATCATTACTTTTTCTTAGAAACATCATTAGAGATATTTTTTAAATGTGATTTTAATGCAATTTAAGGTAAACGAAAGCAAAGGTTTAATGTAGTTATTATTTCCTTTGACATTTATTGAGTGCCTACTATGCAACAGGCCTCTCCCGGATCATTCAGCCTCCTGTTGGGCAGACTTAGGCTACTCCTTACATCAGATAACTTTAACATGTCTTTGCATTGGTTTGTAGTTATCTTGAACCTGTTAATAATGAGCACACACACGCGAATACCATCTTCTACCTATTCAGCATGTCATTGGTATGAAAGCCCCAGAAAATATCTCAAGTAATCAATGTGTTCAGAGAATTATCTCACACAAATTACTCATTAACTCAATAGCACATAATAAAAAAGAACATCAATTAATTAATGAGTCACCGTCAGATCACTATGATTACAATAGAGCTCTGTTGAAACAGTGGTTATAAATGGAGCTGCCTCTCTTTATTCATTGTTTGCAATTGGCCCATTATTTGGCTGAAACCAGTGTCATATTTAACACATTCCTGTAGGCAATTGTGTGATTAGTATCATAAATGAAGAATTCAGAAAGCCTACTGCTTAAGAGTCCTTATCAATGGCCAGAAAAACAGAAAACTCTCATTTTTACTATGGCTTCCGTGGAAGCCAAGCTATAAGAAAGGTATATTATCATTCTAAAAGGTATTTTTTTTTTACTTTTATAATCAAGATTTAAGAATGCCATGTTGAACACTATAAGGATTAGCTACTAAAACACTTAGAAATATATTTACAATGGTTTCAGTATACACATGATTTAATTTTAGTAACTTTTCACGAAGACTAAAATATGCATGATCATTGCCGGCTTTGTAAACATTTCGCTCCCCCCACATGACACTTTTTGCTTTTTGTAGGCTGGGTTAGGGTGAGTTGGTGGTGATTGACAGCAATAGGGGAAGAGAAGATTTAAAGAAATATCAAATATTGCATACAAAGTCACCAACTAAACCTTCCCAACTATCTTGGTAAATGCCATTCCTATAAGCTTATAGAATAATTATAACAGTTCCCTTAGGTAAGTAAGAAACATCTGTTGGTAACACATAGCAGGTGTTAACAATTACACATACTGAACTTTTTAAAAATGTTTTTAATTAAAAGAATTCTGTTTTCCGAAAAGGAAAATATGTTAAATTCAAAGATACTCCTGTTTTGAGCGTGCAGATCACGTAATGCACAAAATTATAAAGAACAAATCATCTTGGATCAACTTGGTTTGGTGTTTGGTTCAGATCATTGCAATCAAAAGTGAGTTGGAAATTCATTGCACTTTTCACACAATTGGTGTTCTGGACTGAGGAGCTGAATACTCATGAAATTGGTTTAGTAGAGCTGATTACAGAATATTTTGGCCTTATGGGCAAGGTGGTTACCATTAACTATACCAAATTTAGTGGACACAGTACAAAGAAAACTGGAAGTAAGAAACATTCAGATAACAGATTATCCAAATCTTTTTTTTACCCCACCTGTAGAGGAGACTTTAAATCACCTAAAGTAAAACAGTCCATTTAGTGAAACATGTAACATTATCCTATGACCCATCTTCAACATATTTTAATAATAATAGCTAACATTTACAGAACACTTACCATGTATCAGGTAGTTTTTCACTCTCATGTAATTTCCACGACATCCCTGTGACAGAGATATTATTACCCCTATTTTATGATTTTTAAATAAAAGAACAGATAGGTTACTTGTCCAAAGTCATACAGCTTGTAAGTAGTGGGCCTGATATTATAAACACAGCTTTTCTGAGTCTAGTACCACTCTACTGTGTCATCTCCTGTAGGGTTGTCCTTATTATTGTCACTATTATTATTTTGTAGCCACTGGGAATCACCAAGAACTAGAAGGGATTGGCCATGCTTGAGCAAAATTTCTGAATATTTAAGAATTAATGTCATCCTTTAAGATGAAAATTGGGAATGAGAGTGATCATACTTTCCTAGATGCAATCTGTTTGGGAGTTCTTTTATTTCAACCACACCACTAAGACATTTATTTGAACCTGCACATCCAGCGTACCCAGAATAGGAGATCCTTAGTATAGCAGTAATGGAAATAAGAGGTGGTCAGTATTGACATGAGAGTAAATTGGAATAAACAGCTACAATTTTCTGCACCAGGATAAGCATGCTGTAGTGAGGTGAAGCTACATCAGTCTCAGAAACCAAGATAATAAAATGAGTATATTATCTGTCTTTGATATTTTATAACTTCCTTCCAGAAGATGAGAAGAAACAAAAATTAAAGTCCCTGCAGTAGCAATCTATGTCAAATTGTGGGCACCTGCCATGTGTGTAGCACTACGCAGGCATCTCTATTTTTTGCCTGAGAGACTTAAGTGTATGAAATGTGTTTGCTGCTATTTATTCTTTATTTAATGCCCAATTTATTAAGCATACAACTCTCACAAATTCAATTTCTCTAAACGTTTGTACACCATTTAAGCAGCTAATAAAGCAAAACCTGTAAATTTAATAAATCAGATTCAACCATTTAAACATCGATTAGAATCTTAGTCAAGTTCTTCTAAACTTTTCAATAAAATCCCCATAATAAGTTTCAAGTACTTTAAAAACAGACAGAAAGTCTCACAATGAGCCAAAACTTATTTGTAAAAATATACTTAAAACTTTAACAAAATTATTAATTTAAATTAATATTTCTGTATGTTGCTTCATATCTTCATAAGGTTACATTAATAGTAAAGAATGTCTTTAAAAAGTTAGAGAATATTATCTCAACTAGGTGAGGTTACAGGATCTGTGTTGTTGACTCTGTGAACCTTGGTTGGGGCACGAGAACTAGCTACACTGTCCAGAATGATTCAAACCTGAACCTGTGCACAAGTTGGCCAGTAATTTAATAGTCATGTCTCCCTATTACATCAATGGAAATATTTGAAGTCCAGGTCTTTCGCATGGGCCATAATTTCCCATAACTCAATGCTTTTTTTTCCCAAAATGATGTATGCTAGCTTTATTGGACTCTTTTATTTTATTTTATTTTATTTTATTTTTTATTTTAGCATATTATGGGGGTACAAGTGTTAAGGTTACATATATTGCTTTATTGGACTCTTCTATATGCTATTTTAATATCACATTATAAGCTACAGAATCACTTAGGGAATTTTGTCTTCTCAGAAATAAGGAATTAGAGCTAGTTGCAATGGCTCACACCTTCGATCCCAGCAATTTAGGAGGCCGCGATGGGAGGATTGCTTGAGGCCAACAATTCGAAACCAGCCTGATAGTATAGTGAGACCCTCCATCTCTAAAAAATAAAAAAAATAAAAAATAAATTAGCTGGGTGTGGTAGCACATAACTGTAGTTCCAGCTACTCGGGAGGGTGAGACAGGAGTATCTCTTTAGCCCAGGAATTTGAGACTGCAGTGAGCTATGATTGCACCATTGTACTTGAGCTTAGATGACAGAGCAAGACCCCATTAAAAAAAAAAAAGAAAGAAAGAAAAAAGAAAAAAAGGATAGGACCTAAGCAGTCACATTTCCCATTGGGACATTTGGCTAATCCTCTTTCTCACAGAAATTATTGGACCCTCTTTTGAATGATTATCATGTATTATCACTTGTGCCGATTAGCACTTTGTGTTCTTGGCATGGCTTGATTTATAATCTCTACGTTTAATCTTCTCTGCTTAGAAAATAGAGATGAATAGCAATTGACACTACATAAATAAGTATATATGCAATAGAAGAAACAAATCACACATACTATAATTTTTAGCTTTTTTTTGGCATGACAATTCTTTTGTATAGTTTAAATTAAGTTTTCTCCTTTTGAGTATAGTCATCGAGTATAGTTTTCATAGACCCAGATGCATTGCAGGTGGATTTCACCGTAGGTTATTTTTCAAGTATTTGTGTGTGTGTGCATAGTTCTTACATTAGGTGTCAATCAAAAACGTTTGTTTCAAAAGACAATACCTTAGAAAACCAGAAAGCCAAAAATAAAGGGCTTGAAAAAAAATGCAGAGTGCAGCAGAATAAGGTGAGCAAAAGGTGAACCGTCCAGAAAAGGGTATTCAACCTGCAAATTGCACAGGCCAAACATGTACAAAGCAAGAATAACAGAAATCACTTGCTTACACTTATAGAAAGTGTCAGTATTATGCAACATTAGTTGAAAACTGAGAAGATGAAAATAAATAAACAGAAGAATAAGTCAAGAGCTGAGACCATGACTTAGCCATCCAAATCTGGAAGAGACTCACTCAGAGGTGGGGAACCTGTTGTGGCCTTGGGGCCACA